TTGAGAATTGCTCTAATCAGTTCATTCTCATCTGTAACACTCCATTGTACCCAATTATTTTTTTATGATTATTTTTCCTATAGCTGCACTCTGAACTCTTTCTGTGGGTAGTTTTAAGGAGTTTGGGGGTTCTTTTAGAGACAGAAAGTGGTCCCAAATCTGTAAAACTGTTAGGAACATTAGTTCTGGAATTAGATGACCCGTGCTTGAATCCTGACTCTAAAACTTAGCAGACATCTCGAGTAAATGATCAAACCTTTTTGAGCTTTAGTTTTCTGAGAATAGAGAAAATAATCCATCATAAGATGGTTGTAAAGACAAAAAGATAGTCCATAAGGCGCTTAGCGCAGTGCCTGGCGCATGGCTACCCTGAGTACAGGATGGCGATCACTCAGGTTGTTACTCCACATGTCGGAGTTCTGGTTCAGGTGCTGCCTCCCATAACCTTGGACTCCTCTGGGATGACCTTGAGAAGACACAGCTTTACTCACTAAGCGTTATCATCCTCTCAGAAACTGCCTTCCTGGTGACTTCCCCATAAATCTGTCCGGGGAAACTGCCCTCTGTGGACAGGAAGCCATCCCTCCTGAGCGAGTAGGGAACCCAGAGGCCCTCCTGGCCGGGCGGCCTCAACTCCAGAGTGAGTTGTCCTTGAACAAACACCGCCGTGGAACTCACTCACTAAGCAGGGGAGGCAGAGTGGAAACCATCCCCTCCCCCTTCTCTCCTCCGCTGAGACCCAGCACCAGAGACGTCAGCCTCGCATGCTGTGAAGGAATGTGCTGCTTCCAGAGCGCGGGAGGCTGAATGGGAGAGGACAAGCCTCCACAGGCCTGTCGGGGTCGGGAATCAGGGTCGCACTCCTTCGCTCACCCACAGGTATTTATGGCATAACTGTGTGACAGGGACTGTTCAGGCAGACGGGACACGCGAGGACCTGTGAAATCATCGAGACCTGTTCTGTGGCCCAGTGGTCTGTTTGGGGAATAGTCCTCATGCCTCTCAACAATCTTAGGAAGAGAATTCTATTATCATCCCAAATTTACAGTGGAGAAAAATGAGGCTTATGTACTTTAACGTCTCTTAAGGATTAATGCCATCCAGCGAATAAGTGCAACAGAGATTTGAACTCAAATTTCTGACACCATATTCTGAGGTCTTAACTTTTTCCTTTACATATAAAATGGAAGAAAAAAATGGGTTTTTTAACCTTATTCATTTGACTGCAAGTAAAATCAACAAATTTCTAATCAATGTTTCTCTGAGAACAATATTTACTCTGTTTCTGAGTCATGAGGATTTTCATCAAATAACGTCCAATGGTGGAGCACGGTCCCTAAATACTCTGAGTTGCCAAGAGGGACTATTTGATTAAAAATAATTAAAATTTTGCTACAATTTATGGTTATCTAACACGATTACACTGAGCATAGCCCATTTAGTGACCAATAAATTTTGTTTCGCTGTTCGAGAATGACATGTGTAGGTTTTATAGCTGCATTTTCTTTCTGAACATTTTCAACTACTACCTAATATGCACACTATTAGGCAATGGTTAAAAGAACACAGTCTTTAGATTTTTCAATGTTGTGAGCACTGTTTGGAAAATTAATCTGAATGGAATAAAAATGGTATAAAACATTCCAGCAACAGACATTTAGCTTAATATTAAGTTGAAACATATAACATTGCCATTTTGTAGTTAAAAATGATCAACTGGGGCCGGCCCCTTGGCAGAGTGGTTGAGTCTGCGCACTCTGCTTTGGCGGCCCAGGGTTTCGCTGGTTTGGATCCTGGGTGCAGATCCAGCACCGCTCATCAAGCCACGCTGAGGCAGCGTCCCACATAGCAGAGCCAGAAGGACCTACAACAAGAATATACAACTATGTACTGAGGGGCTTTGGGGAGAAGAAAAAAAAAAAAAGATTGGCAACAGATGTTAGCTCAGGTGCCAATCTTCAAAAAAAAAAGATCAACTATTTCCAACTTCATATAGTTCAACTTCATAAATTCTATATTCCATATGCATAAATTCAGCAGTAACTAGAAAGTGAGCTTTGCTAAGATAGGGATTTTTGGGTTTTATTGACTACCGTTCAGGCTGTAGGCACTCAGAAAATGGTTGTTGAAGGAATGAATAAGGATAGCAAATAAAATATGGTACCTAACCTTCCATCCTAACATGATATGCCTTTAGGTTTAGGTTTAGTGTGGAATAGGAAAAATAACATGCTATGCATGTTAGTCTCTTAAAATGATAAAAAGGCTAATTAAAAGACCTAATTTACCCAAGAGAATTGAAAATATATGCCCACAAAAAACCTTGTACATGAATACTCATAGCAGCATTATTCGTAACCGCCAAAAAGAGGAAATAACCCAAATGTGCATTAACTGATGAAGGGTGGTCTATCCACGCGATGGAATATTATTCAGCCATGAAAAGGAATGAAGTACTGGTAGGTACTACAACACAAATGAATCTTGAAAACATGATGCTAAGTGAAAGAAGCCAGACACAGAAGGCCACAGATTGTATTATCCATTGTGTAAAATGTCCAGAATGGGCAAATCAATACAGACAGAAAGTGGGTTAGTGGCTGCTGGGGTCTGGAGGCACTGGGGAAGTGGGGAGTGACTGCAAATGGACACGGGGCTTCTTTGGGGCTGATGAAAATATTCTGGAATTAGGTGGTAGTGATAGTTGTACATCCTTGTAAATAAACTAAAAACCACTGACTTGTGTGCACACTTTAAAATTAAGGGTGAATCTTATGATACGTGAAATGTATTTCAATTTCAAGTGGGGGAAAACTGCAAGTTCTCCTCTTCAGAACATGTCAAAGTACGCCATAAAATAATAGACATGTGTTTAAAAGTCTGAGAGTATTAGGAAATGTTCCCTGTTAATTATAAACCGAGTGGAATGTTTGGAGATCTCAGTAATCTGACAGGAGCACTAAGAGGATTAACTCGACTCCCCCAGGGGTAACACCACCAATTTAAACTGCATCTTTCAAAACTCGGCAGCCGCATTAACACAATTGTAGCAACGACTTCCTCGAAAACAATGCCAATTAGATTAATTACCCATTAAGGCCACCATCATTTAAAATACCTTCTATTTATATAATGCTTTTACTTCCTTAAGTATTGAGTTATGCCTTAAGATCTAACGTATGGGACAGTCACACTCTAAGCTCTTAATTGAAGGCAGAGCAGTGGGCAGGACCGGACAGAAAGGTACCAGCAAGGCCGACATTCCAGGCTGGAACACAAAGTGAAGCAGGCTTTAAGAAACTTAAAATTATAGCCTTCAACGCGGAAGGGTAAATTGCGAGAACTAAAATTGCCACATTCTGGAGTACAATTAAAAAGTATATGTTGAAATACAACATACATCTAGAAACGTGTACACATTGTTAGGTGTAGACTACGAATTTTCCTAAATAAACACTCCTTTGGAACCAGCCTCCAGATCAAGAAATACAACATAGCCCACAGAACGAGAGCTTTTTTTTTTTTTTTTTTTTAAAGCCAAAGAGAATGTTAACACAGTTCCAGTCCCCCAAGAGCCGAGCCTGACTCATATCAGAGCTGGACTTGCGGAGGGGGTGTGGATGCTGAGGTGGTAGTAACGTACACCGTGGTACGTACTTCATTTTGACGGCAAATTCACCGACACCATATCTACAGCACTTCACCTTCATTTGACCACCCTGAGTAATCGTTTTTTCTGGATCTAGTTCCTAAATTTACGCACGACTTTTGAAAATCTTCCACATCTGGATGCTACTTTCCAACAAAACTTTAGCCAAATTTTTGGAGCAGGAAAGTGCGTGAGGACGCACTGAGCGTCCGTGGACACTCTTCGGGAGGAAGAGAGTCCCCTCTAGACCTCGCGCGCCAAACCGTCCACCACCGCCCCACCCGAGCCCGCGGAGCTCGGAGCGCGCCCGGGGGCCAGGACCGCCCGCCCCGCAGAGCCGAGCCCCCGCCGTGCGCCCGGGCCCCACCCTCGGCCGGGCGCGGCGCGGCTCCTTTAACCCGGCGCGGCCGGGGTGCGGGCAGGGCCGGTTCCTCCCGCCGCCTCCTCCGCCCCTTCCCCTCCCATCGGAGTTTCAGGTGAAGGGGTCACCGAGAGAGGAGGCGGCGCCGCCACACCCTCTCGCCAGCGTCCACCTCCCCTTTCTCCTTCTTCCGCGGAGGCGGCGGGACTCCAGGGGAGCCAGCCGGGGCGCGGCAGGTGGGGCGCGGGGCGCGGACCTCGGCCACCTGGGCCTGGCGCTGGTGCGCATGCCCGGGGGCCGGGCGGCCGGGGTGGGGGAAGGGGAGGGGGAACTGGATGGGGAGGAGGCAGAGGAGGAGGAGGAGGGGGCCGGGTCCTTAGCCGGGCTGGGTTACGTGCCGGCGGCCCGCACGGCGTCAGGTGCGCCTGCCAGGTGAGCGCGCTCCTCGGTCCCGCCGTCGGCAGGTGAGCGGGGCGGCCGGCTTCGGGGGCTGTGACGCGCGGGCCGGGGGGCAGCGGCGCGGGGCTGGCCTGGGGGCGGCCTCCCTCGAGGGCCGTCCGGAGCCGCCCATCAGCTCCCTCGGCCGAAGCGCGCGAAGCTGCAGACGCCCGGGCGGCGCGGGCAACTTTTCGCTCTTAGGGGGCGGGAGGTCCGTGCGCAGCGGGAATCCTGCGATCAGCCCCCCGGATCCAGTTTTGGGGGGTCCGCAGGGAGAGGGGCGCAGCCCGGCTGTGCCGGGTCCTGAGCGCGGGTTGGAGCGAGGGGGCCGCTCGCCGGCCGGGGCGGGGCAGCTGGGCCCGGGGGACCTGGCCATTCCCGACCCCACCCCTTTGCGTCTCCCGGGCCCGAGGGTGGGTGGCCGGTTTAATCCGGGAAGTGTGCTGGAGACCTGGGGGCCGGCGGCGGTTTCGAGTCCCCTTGGTGGGGGTTGTGCGAGCCGCGGGTCGACGCCGGGCGGGGAGCGAGCGTCGAGTGAGGGAGGCTGCAGGACTTCGAGGAAGCGGCTCCGCTCCGGAGCCTCAGCGGGGCGGCCCTGCTCGGCCCGGGGCGCTCGGCTCGGCCCGGCCGCCGGGGGCTGGAGACCAGGCAGGGGCCGGCCCCGCGCGCAGCCTGCGGACCGGGACAGGTGGGTGGAGGCCGCAGTGGGCCGGGGCTGGAGAGCAGGTGTCCCCTCGCGACCCCGGAGAAGCGGGGCATCCTGAGGCCGGCCGCGGGGCCTGCCTGACCGCCCACCCGGGGAATGCCCGGGGCGGGGAGGAGGCAGCTTCCAGGGGAGTGTGTGGCCCTCACGCTCCACTGGTGTATTCTTGGGATTCCTGGAAAAGAGAATCCTTCCTATTAAGGCACTTCCGGTGATTCTTCCTGGGATTGAAAACCAGTTGTTTCCAGAGGGACGTAGATTTCTCAAACTACGGGTTCCCAAGTGTAACAATGTTTCTTTTGCAATGTACATACGAATCTTTATTTTCTCTTTCTGGGGTTTTGATGTAGACAGTTTAAATGGAGGCGCCACAGTGATAGAGGCCTCCTCGGACGAAGCAGCTCTTCTGCTTTTTGTAGTTTTGCGTTTATTTCGTTGTTAGGTGTCTCCTGTGTCGGGTGATGGAGGGGAGGCTGGGAGACCGGCAGCGTCCAGGCTGTCGAGGGACATGAGGGGCCGTGCTGCTGTGCGCGGGGCACTGTGCGCCTTACGCCCCGCAAAAAATATAAAAGCGTTTTGCGCTTTCTGTCGTTTAATCCTCCCCACGACTCTAAAAGGCGGATCTTACCCGAACTCCATTGTAAAGGCGAGGACACACTTTCGGGGCGCGAGTTAGAAATGCAGCTGGCTGGGAGACCCCCTCCGCTCTTCGGGGAAGGTGTATCAGAGAAGCCACAGTCCTTGACATTCCAGCACAAAACCAGATTTGGGGAGTTTTTCTCGAATGATCTGCCTTTGACTAGTCCCTATGGCTTCCCACAAGGTTTCTGCATCTTGCTGGACGTAAACGTGGAATTACTCCTGTTTTCTTCTAAAGATAATTTTAGAATTATTGCCCTTTGAAAATGATAAAAGGTTACTTTTTCTTTTTAAAGATTTTATTTTTTCCTTTTTCTCCCCAAAGCCCCCCAGTACATAGTTGTATATTCTTCGTTGTGGGTCCTTTTAGTTGTGGCATGTGGGACGCTGCCTCAGCGTGGTCTGATGAGCAGTGCCATGTCCGCGCCCAGGATTCGAACCAACGAAACACTAGGCCGCCTGCAGCGGAGCACGCGAACTTAACCACTCGGCCGCAGGGCCAGCCCCGATAAAAGGTTACTTTTAACACGTAAATTAACTGATACAATGTCTCTCACCTGTCCAGGAACCTCCCAGAGGGATGTTTTCTTCAGTTGCATTCAAGGCTTGCTTGAGTAGAGTATTTAGTGGGCTTTTTTCCCCCACACTACTTATGGAAATATTAGGGTAAAAAGGGGTGGCGGATTTTTGTTAGACCTTTTGTTGTAGCCTCTGGGTTGCAGCTGTTCTGAAACCCAGTGCTTCCCACTCTTGATTATGGTGTGAATCACGAGTGATTTTAGGAAACTGCAGGTTCTGGTTCCTAGGTCCAGGGTGGGGAGTGGCCTGGGACTCTGCCTTCCTCACGGGCTCCCAGGTGACGCTCTTACAGGTGGTGCCCACGCGGTGATGTCTCCGTCCCTTTTCTCTCCTCTCCCTCAGACTGTCAGCACTTAACTGCTTTTGTTGAATTTAACTTGAAGGAATATGTTTACTGGGTGTTAGTTGTGCTAAGAACTTCAAGGCGTTCACTGCTGGATTGAAATCCTAACTCTGAGCAACTCCAGTATGGACTGTTGATTTTTATAAATCAAACATTAATGGATACCACTTGGTACCAGGGACTGGTTCTGGGGATCAGGAATAAGAGTGATGGTCAAGACAGACCTCTAAGTGCTTGTGAAGCTGGTATTCCAGTTGGAGTGGAGATAGTGGCAGTTAAAAGAGAAAAGAACTTAGTTATCGGGGAAATTTGCCCTGAAAATAAAACAGGTTTGGCAGATGGAGTGAGTGACTAGGAGGGCATCTCTGAAGAGGTGACGTTTGAGCTGAGACGTGAACAACAGCAGGCACCTGTCACGTAAAGATCTGGGCGTTCCAGACAGGCAGCCCAGGAGATCAAGGCCCTTCTTGATTGATGCCCTTATTCTAGGGCATGATTCTCAAAATATATGGTGTGCCTAAGAGGAATCTGGAGAGTTTATTAAAACGCACTTTCTGACACATAGCTAGTCTCTTTCAAAAATGTGCTTAATTTCAGAATCTTAGGCACTTTACTAATGATGCGCCTATGATCTAGATAGAACCGTTTAATATCAGACACAACTTAAACTTCTTAAAGGCAAATCAGCTATTGCTACGTGTGGTCAGAAAGGAACAGACTGCCCTGAAATAACATCAAGTTCACTTTTCACTTATTGACAGTTTGCTTTAAAGATGCTTTTGCAGCATAGCATTTTCAAGCTTTTCTGTTTCACCTTAGCTTAGTTTTCTATTAAGACAGCTTTTGGCTAGTAAACATTTTCAAGGGGAGAACTTTTTTAAGGTTTTAATGTTCGCTGGCTTTCAGCTTAACGTATTCAACAAGGGTCTGCTGCTTCCCTTTGCCCCTGACTCGAATTCAGCTGTTTGCCTGTGTCCCCATCACTCTCATGACACCGGTTCTGTGAAGTGACCACTGACCCCTCGGGCTGGATCCTGTGGCCTTTCACTCCTCATTTTATTTTTTCCTTCGCTCAGCGTGTATTTATTGACTAGATCCCGCTCATGTGGCTGTGCTGGGCCCTGGACAACGGTCTGTTCTGGGTCCTCTTTCTCCATTTGCTGGGACCTTGATGCACAGTCACAGGCTGCCTTGAAAGAGACGTTAGAAGCCCCCAGGCCAAGCCACGCCCCCCCCCACCCCATACCAGACAACTGAAGCTGTGCATAAGCAGCGGGAGATCAAGTTGGTGCATAAACACTGTGAGATCAAGTTGGTGCATAAACAGTGTGAGATCAAGTTGTTATTTGTTATTTTTGGAGGGTGTGTGGGGTCACAGTGAGGGAGAGACTTCCTAACATGGAGATGAAACCTGACCGTGTGGTGTTTTTCTGTTTTCTCAAAGAACCCTTTCTAGGACTACGAGACAGCCCCTCAGAAATTTGAAGGCTGCCATAGTGGGTCTTCTAATCTTGAGTTCTCCAGGCCAAGCATTTCCTGTTTTTCCAATCATTTGTCTTAAGACATGGTTTTTCTAGATCCTTAACAATCTTAGTCCCCCTCCTGGGGAGGCGCCTCGTTGGAACATGATGTGCAAGTTTCACGGTGATGCAGAGGTTTGTTTTTTGGATAATTGTATGTCTCCTGGGTCTCAGCACCGTCTCTGTGACTACTGCCTGTGTTTGGGATAGCTTGTTAGCTTTTGTGGAAATTTGCGCCACGGAAGTGCACTTGTAAAAATGAGCAGCTCTGAAGCCAAATCTTCCTTAGCCAGTACTTATATTAATTTTTTTTTGTTTTAAATTTCTTTTAAAATTCTTTTGCTTGAGGTTGCGTTGATTTATAATGTTCTATAAATTTCAGATGTTTGTCATTATATTTTGACTTCTGTGTAGACTATATCGTGTTCACCACCCGAATTCTAGTTTCCATCCGTCACGGTATACAGGTGCCCCGTTACCCCTTTTGCCCGCCCCCAACCCTCTCCGCCTCGGTAACCACCAGTTTGTTCTCTGTATCTCTGTGTTTGTTCATTTTCTACTCAGGAGTGAAATCATACAGTATTTGACTTTCTCTTTCTGACTTAGTTTGCTTAGTATGATGCCCTCAAGGTCCATCCATGTTGCAAGCGGCAAGATTTCATCTTTTTTATGGATGAGTAGTGTTCTGTTGTGTGTGTGTGTGTGTGTGTGTATACACATATATATATATATATACACATACATACACCACAGCTTTTTTATCCATTCGTCTGTTGATGGGCACTTAGGTTGTTTCCGAGTCTTGGTTATTGTGAGTAATGCTGCAGTGAACATAGGGGTGTGTGTATCTTTTCAAATTAGTTTTCCATGTTCTTTGAATACCCAGGAGTGGAATGGCTGGATCATGGGGTAGTTCTAGTCTTAATTTTTTGAGGAATCTCCATACTGCTTTCCGTAGTGGCTGTACCAGTTTGCACTCCCACCAGCAGTGTATGAGGTTCACTTTTCTCCACATCCTCTCCAATACTTGTCATTCTTCTCTTTTTAATAATAGCTGTTCTGATGGGCGTGAGGTGATATCTCATAGTTTTGATTTGCATTTCCCTAATAATTAGCAATGGTGAACATCTTTTCATGTGCCCGTTGGCTGTCTCTGTATCTTCTTTGGAAAAATGTCTGTTCAGATCCTCTGCCCATTTTTTAATTGGGTTTTTTGTTGTTGTTGAGTTGTATGAGTTCTTTGTATATTCTGGGTGTTAACCCCCTATTAGATATATGATTTGCAAATATCTTCTTCCAATTGTTAGGTTGTCTTTTCATCTTGTTGATGGTTTCCTTTGCTGTGCAGAAGCTTTTTAGTTTGATGTAATCCCATTTGTTTATTTTTTCTATTGTTTCCCTTGCCTGGTTATACATGGTACTTGAAAATATGCTGCTGAGACTGATGTCAAAGAGCATACTGCTTATGTTTTCTTCTAGAAGTTTCATAGTGTCGGGTATTACATTGAAGTCTTTACTCCATTTTGAGTTAATGTTTGTGTGTGTGTGTAAGATAGGGGTCTAGTTTCATTCCTTTGCATGTGGCTGTCCAGTATTTGGAAATGGGTACAATGTATCTAAGAGGCTGAACCCTGAACTGTCTCACCTTCAGGGTACCACTTCGCTGTGACTGCTTTGCTCGTGTTCCTTAATACATTAGCTTCTTCCTGTCCCAGCCCAGAGGTCAGGATAATCCTCCTTTGACGGGGGAGGGTTGTGAGGCTTACAGAAGATGAGGACCTTGTCCTCTCAGACTGTGAGTGGTCAAAACCACTGGTTTGTCTTGGCCATCATTCAGGCCTCCAGGGAACTTGACCAGTCTTCATGTCCTCGTCGCCAGCAGGTTAGTCATCCTGTCCCGTGTTTCAGCTGCACCTCTGGATCAGCTTGTCCACCTCGTCTGGTCACCACTAGAGGCCTCCTCCCGATGGGCATAAATGGTCCATTATTTTGTCCTAATTAGTTCCATTATTCAGCCCTGTAGGAATCTGCCCAGCCACACTGTCTACACAGGGATATGCTTGAGGTCCTCAGGACTCTCTGCACGCCCTTCCTCTGCCAGTCTGGTAACCTTCTCAAGGAAGGGAATGCAGTTGGTGTGGCATGACTTCTTCTTAATGAGCTTTCTAGAATTATTTGCGTCATGATTTAAAATCTCTGCTACGAGAGGAGACATGACAGCTAAACTGAGGCCAGGAACTAGCAGTTTAGAAAGGGTTTTTGTTGTCTGGATTTTTTGGTGAGGGAGATTGGCCCTGAGCTAACATCTGTTGCTAATCATCCTCTTTTTTTTTTCTCCCCAAAGCCCCATTACACAGTTGTATATCCTGGTTGTAAGTCATTCTAGTTCGTCTGTGCAGACGCCACCACAGCGTAGCTTGATGAGTGGTGCTAGGTCCATGCCCAGGATCTGAACCAGTGAAACCCTGGGCCACTGAAGCAGAGCACGCAAACTTAACCACTCAGCCACGGGGCTGGCCCTCTGTTGTCTGGACTTTTGACAAAACTTAAACTTCAGACTGAGTCTGGATTAATTTGGAATTTTCAAAACCTACCGTTGAGCCTGGAGTTTTTGGCATAGTCTTGAGTGAGTGAGCTCTAGCTCTAGAAAGATAAGATTCTTCCAAGGTCAGTTTGTCAGTATTTGACATTCAGCTTCAGGAATAGGGTCCCACATGGAAGAGCGTTTAAATTCAGTTTTTCTTAATGTTTCTTTCTGAACTTTAGGTAGTAAGACTTAATCTATACTTTCCTAGCACTGTAACACTTTGGCCTAAATTGCTCGCTTATATGTGTATTTGGGTGCTTGTTATGGGGCTGCATACTCTTACCATTTTTGTACTTTTCTGTACGTTATACTTCAGTAAAGCAGTTTTTAAAAATAAAACGATGGAGAGAAGTTTCTCTTTCCTGTGTTTGGAAAATTATGCTAATTGTGTTGGTGTTATTAACATTCACTATATTTCCATCTTTGAGGTTTTACCTAATACACATTTGGGCAATATTTTATTCTAAGAAATTTGGAATTGACTGTCCTTAAGGATGTGGAGAATAGTTGCCATTGATTTTGAAGAGCAGAGTTTAAAGAGTGTGAGTTTGATGTACTGTCCTAACATAGAAATGTGCAATTGCACAGACCTTATTTGAAAAGGAAAAAGTACAAGACTCTGAATATACCCAGATTATAGCTCTTGCTCGAGTGTCCTTCCTCCCTGACCCTTTCCCCCACCCGCAGCTTCCACCTTGTCTCTCTGTCTCCCCTCTTATCCCCGGCTGCACTTTCGCATGTAGTTCCACTCAAAACAATGCCTGTTGGAGTTGTGGTTGGCTTCGTGTGTGACCCTCTGGAGCACCGGTCCCGCCCTTCGGCCCGTGGGCTCCCACCGTGTACGGTAGTGTAGGCAGGTCCTAGGCACTTGTTGCCTGAGTGAAATTGCCTCTGCGGTGTTTAGGGGCTTTTGCTTGGAGGAATTTTAGGACGAAATCCTTCTGCTTTTCTCTTAGATTAGTGTGCTTAATGCTTTTCCCCTCTTGTAAAAATTGTGCTCAATTTTGAAGACTTGGAAAAGGAGAGAAGGGAAAAATGCCCACAATGCCACCATCCGTAGATGCGTATGCTAATCATTTCTAATGATAAGGCATTCTTTTTTTTTTCTTTTTAAAGATTTTATTTTTTTCCTTTTTCTCCCCAAAGCCCCCCGGTACATAGTTGTATATATTCTTTGTTGTGGGTCTTCCTAGTTGTGGCATGTGGGACGCTGCCTCAGCGTGGTCTGATGAGCAGTGCCATGTCCGCGCCCAGGATTCGAACCAACGAAACACTGGGCCGCCTGCAGTGGAGCTCGCGAACTTAACCACTCGGCCACGGGCCAGCCCCAATAAGGCATTCTTTTAAAGCAGATTATACTTAAGTTAACGCTGAGGGGTTACGATGCGCTGGACCCCGCTATCTATGCACTTTGATACACGTTCTCATTTTATATGAATGTTCATAAGTAATATGAAACAATGTATTTTAAGAAATTTTCTTTCCTTTTACACATCTTCCTTGTACTTTGAAGTGACTGTTTTAAGGAATTCCATTTTTCACCTATGCTGTAGAAGCTTTGTGAAATTTTCATTACTACAATTTAGAGTTTTAAGTTTAAACAATATTTGTGTGGCAGCCATGTGCTGACCTAGGTGCCAGGACAATTGCCCGGCTGCGTGGTTCCTGTGCTCACGGGATTAACGGCCCACGTGTAAGAGTGGCGGTGGAAGGACAAGAGCAGTACCCACGGCTACTTAAGATTGGTATCAGTTTCCTGAGTGATGCAAGGAAACTCTGAGCTGGGGAGTAATGCTGGTGCCCTCCTTGTGTTGCTTAGATCACTTATCTTGGGAGCTCCAGGGCGTTGCTTATCCTGAGGATCAGGTGACCGTTGACGTCAGCCATGTCATCGAGGCCTTTGGAAAGTCCACCTCCTTATAGACCGGATGAGTTGTAAGTAAATGATTCTTTAATGTTTTTTTCTTTTTTTTTGTCTGTCACGTGTAAACAATATGTTTGGTTGAAACTTTCATCTATTAAATGTTTGTTTGCTTTTAAACATATTATGTGCCTTTGTAAATTTAGATTGAACCGAAGGGTGTACAGTGAAAAGCGAGTTTCCCTCTTGCCCTCAGCTTCTAGCGTGACTTTTTCTCTGCAGAGGCAACTGTTGTCACCTGTTTTTAATGTTGGCTTCAGTGTCCTCAAGGCTTATATTCGTGTGTACATTTATTCCTTTTTGTTTTTCACAGATGGTGTGAAGCTTCCATGTCAGTGCCTTGTTTAGATGACCGTTGGCAACATATTGTCAGTTTTTTAAATAATACCTTTATTGAGATATAATTCACACACCATCCAGTTCGCCCATTTAGGATGGACAGGTCAGTGGTTTTAGTGTATTCACGCAGTTGTGCACCCATCACCACCATCAGTTTGAGAACATTTTCATCACCCCCTGCCCAGAGAAGCCCCTGCCCGTCAGCAGTCACTCCCCGTCTCCCCGTTCTAGGCTGCCGCCAGCCTCCCTTCTGGTGCTAGGGTTTCTGTTGCGTCCGTTTCATGTGAATGGAATCATACAGTATGTGGTCTTTTGTGGCTCACTTCTTTCGCTTAGCGTGATGGTTTCCATACTGCAATTTTAAGAGTGAGTCCTGCCGTTATATAAAACAGGAAGCACAATCGAGGGTCCTTGGTGTCCGTAGTCATTTGGGAATTTAACAATGCATTCTTAAATTTTAATTTGCTATCAAACATTATACATCCTGCTTTAAGTAGTTTGTAGCTTTTTTTTTTTTTTTTGCCAAGGAAGATTCGCCTTGAGTTAACATCCACTGCCAATCTTCCTCTTTTTATATGTGAGCTGCAGCCAGAGCCTGGCCACTGACAGACGAGTGTTGTAGGTCAGTGCCTTGGAACTGAACCCAGCCACTAGAGTGGAGCGCATCAAGCTTAACCACCAGGCCACAGAGGCTCGCCCGTAGTTTATAGTTTTAACTTTGATACCTGCAGTAGGGGTTGTGTTCCTACTATACAGCCGCTTGACTAATGCCTGAACATGGTAGGGACGTTGTTGGTGATGGTGTGTCCTTACAGTGTGCTGGAGAATATAGTAACTGAGTAGGGCTCCATTAACCTGGTACTTACTTTGTCTGCTTTTGTGAGCAGTGGTGAAATACAGCACACACAGAGGAAAGGCGCAGAAGGTGCGTGTGAGAGGATGAATAAGGACAAAGCAGAGTGGTCACCAAGGTCAAGACAGAACACCTCAAAGACCTTCTCTGTGTCCTCTTCTTTCCCGGGAGCCACATTGATGACATAGGGTCGTCACTTGCTTTTCTTTATTATTTTATCACTTTATACATCCTAAGCAATACGTTTTAGTTTTTCTTGTTTTTAAACCTTACATGAATGTAAGATGCTGTGTGTATCCTTTTCCGTCTTGTTTCTTTCAACATCACTTAGAGGATTGATTGGCATGTATTTGTAGTTCATTTTTTGCTTCAGAGCAGTGCTATAGAAATATATTGCGAGCCATACATGTAATTTTATGTTTTCTTGTAATCGTATTAAAAATAAAAGAAGTAAATTTTAATAATATATTTCACTTAGCTCAATATACCCAAAATATTATCATTTCAACATGTGACTGATATAAACACTGACTCATGAGATAGTTGACATTCTTTTTTTTACAGTCTTTATTTTCTGGAGCAGGTTTAGGTTCACAGCAAAATTGAGCAAAAGGTACAGAGATTTCTCATATGCCCTCTGCTCTGCACCTGCACAGCCTCCCCCATTATCAACATCCACCACCAGAGTGGTGCGTTTGCTGCAATTGATGAACTGACATTGACACAACATTATTGGCCAAAGTCCATAGTTAATATTAGGGTTCTTTCTTGGTGATGTTACGTCTTTTCATACTATGATACTGTGTATCTTGTACTTAATGGCACATCTCGATTTGGACCAGCCTCATTTCAAGTGCTCAGTCGATCCATGTGGCCTGTGACTGCCAGAGTAGATGGCACACCTGTGGCATTCCGTTGTAGGGATGTATCGCAGTTACGCGTTCCGCTGTAGGTGGACACTGGAACTGTTTCCAGGTTGGGGTTTAGATAAGGAATGCTTCTGTGAACGCTACAGTGTTAACGGGAGTATAAAAAAATGCTACAATCATTTTGGAAAACAGTTTGACATTATCTAGTAGAGCTGAATTCAGATAAAAAAACTTTGACCCAGAAATTCCACCTCCGGGCATATATCCTAGAGAATAAGTGCGTGTCTATCAGGATACACGTTCAAGGATGCTCAGAGCTACACTGTCCTCAACACCCAAACATCCAAGTGGAGGGTTGTGGAATTTCACCCTTGACATTCTCAAAGACCAGCTTGTCAGCATTCTCTCCAGTTTCTATTCCTTCTTCACGCAGGTGCTTTCTTGGACTGCCCCTGTTAGCAGCACCCAGTAGTAAGATGTCCTGCTTTGGAGTGAGGAAGGTGGTGTGTGGAAACGGTGACAAAGACACAGGCGGCTGTGTTGGGTTAGGAATTGAGTTTCGTCTCCTCTGGACCCTCAGTTCTTAGAGTCAGTGTATCCACACATCTGTGTGTCTGTCCCCAGCAGTGTGCTTGTGATGGAGTTGCTAAGTTGGCAGAGTGTTTTCATAAAGAAGATTCAAGATCCACACCCTTGCTGGGCCCTCACCACAGGCCTGATTTACTCGATGGCTCTTGCCGTAACTAACTGCCCCTTGGATAGTGTTTGTTTAATGTCTTGCTGCCCGACAGGGACTCAGCTCTGTGAGGGGCCTGGACTGAGACTGTCCTGTTTGTGGTTGAGTCCCTGTGCCCAGCACACGTCAGCCTGCCCGCTCTGGTAAACAGCTGGAGTCAAATGAATAAATGAATGAATGTGCTTTGTTAGGTAGGAGAGTGAGGCTGCCAGCAATGGCAGGTGACTGGGTGGGCCAGTGTAGGTGTCCTGTCTGAATGCCCCAGTCTCAGGTCACAGGCAGAAGGGTAGACACCATTGTTCTAAACTGCGTGGGTCCCGGCCCCAGGGGTTATAATTTAACTGGTGTGGAGTGCCATCTGTAGCCCAGTCCCCAGGGGATGCTAATATGCAACAAATTTGAGAACCTTTGTTTCATAGAAACCAGAGCAGTCATGCTCAGTGTGTGGTTCCCAGGCCTGCAGCTCAGCAGCATCTTGGAAACTTGTCCTACCCCAGAGCTTCAGAATCAGCAGATGTGGGGATGGGGGCCGACAGTCTCTGTTTTAACAGACCCTCCTGATGATTCTGATGCACAGATACGTTTACCGTTCAGTGGATGTCTGAATCAGTCCGGGCTGCTGTAACGAAGTACCACAGCCTGCATGGCTTATAAACAACAGAAATTTGTTCTCACAGCTCTGGAGGCTGGAAGTCTGAGACCCGGCCCCAGCGTGGTCAGGTTCTGGAGAGGGCCCTCTTCCAGGATCTCGACATTTGAATTTTAGGGGGACAGAAATTGCCCTGTTGCCGTGGGGCAGCACTAGTAATAGTTTTATTTGCCAATGGTTTGTTTAAATTTTTCCAAGTATTTTATGCGTTCTTTCTGCTTACTGTCAAAAAGTGCTAACTTTTGATGTTGCTTTCATGTGCTTTTCAGCAAACCCAATCATTACGCACCAAGCAATGACATATATGGCGGAGAGATGCACGTTCGACCGATGCTGTCTCAGCCGGCGTACTCTTTCTACCCAGAAGACGAGATTCTTCACTTCTATAAGTGGACCTCTCCCCCAGGAGTGATTCGCATCCTGTCTATGCTCATCATCGTGATGTGCATTGCCATCTTTGCCTGTGTCGCTTCCACTCTTGCCTGGGACAGAGGCTATGGATCCTCCTTGCTGGGAGGTGGCATCGGGTACCCTTATGCAGGAACTGGCTTTGGCAGCAGCTTCGGTGGCTATGGCTATGGCTACAGTTATGGCTATGGAGCCTACACAGATCCAAGAGCAGCCAAGGGCTTCCTCCTGGCCATGGCTGCCTTTTGTTTCATTGCTGCGCTGGTGATATTTGTTACCAGCGTTATAAGATCGGAAATGTCTAGAACAAGAAGATATTACTTGATGGTGATAATTGTGAGTGCCATCCTGGGCATCATGGTGTTTATCGCCACAATTGTCTATATAATGGGAGTCAACCCAACTTCCCAGGCTTCTGGGTCTCTGTACAGTTCACAAATATATGCCCTCTGCAACCAGTTCTATACGCCTGCAGCTACTGGACTCTACGTGGACCAGTATTTATATCACTATTGTGTGGTGGATCCCCAGGAGGTATGGGTAGTTTTGGTTTGGTTTGGTTTTTTCCCTTCCCTCTCTCCTTGGGTCAGAGGCTCTCAACGTGGGATACTTAATAGAATTACTTTGGGAACTCTTAAAAAATATTGGTGCCACGGCCCCACTACTAGTTAATTCAGAATCTAGGAGGAGGGCTGGGTGTCATTATTAAGATAGAATTAACATACCGTATAATTCATCTGTTTAAAGTACACTTCAGTAGTTTTTGGTATATTCCCAGAGTTGTACAACCATTACCACAATCAATTTTGGAACATTTTCACTACCTCAGAAAGAAACCCCTTCCCCATTACAGTCACTCCTCATTTCCCTAACATTCCCCAGACCTAGGCATCCACTAATCCTATAGATCTGCCCATTTTGGATATTTCTTATAAATAGAATCACGCAATACGTAGTCTTTTGTGACTGGCTTCTTTCACTTGGTGTTAACGTTTTTAAGCTTCATCCACGTTACAGCATGTGCCAGGACTTCATTCCTTTTTATTGCTGAGTAATAATCCATTGTATGGATAGACCACTTTTTATTTATCCATTCTTCAGTTGATGGATGTTTGGGCTTTTCCACATTGACTGTTAGGAATAATGCTCTGAACACTTGTGTACAAGTTTTTGTGTGGACCTGTGTTTTAATTTCTTGAGTTGAGTATATACCTAGGGATGGAATTGCTGGGTCTTATGGCGACTCTGTTAATCTTTTGAGGAGCTGCCAGACTGTTTTCCTATGAGGTTGCACTATTTTACCTTTATCAGAAATATAGGAGGATTCCAGCTTCCCCACGTCCTCACCAGCATTGTTTTTGTCTGTGTCTGATTCTAGCTGTGCTCATGGGTGTGAAGTGGCACCTCATGTTGGTTTGGATTTGGATTTCCTTGATAAGCTAAGATACTGAGCATATTTTCTTCTGCTTATTGGCCATTCATATACCTTTGGAGAAATGGCTATTCAGAATCTTTGCTCATTTTTTAATTAGGCTATTTGTATTTTTTTTTATTGAGTTGTAAGAATTCTTTAGGTATCTGAATACAAGTCTCTCATAGATATATGATTTGCAAATATTTTCTCTCCATTTTGTCATTTTCTTTTCACTTTCTTGATGGTGTTCTTTGCACAAAAGTTTTTAGTTTTGGTGAAGTCTAAATTTTTCTTTTGTTACTTATTCTTTTGATGTCATATCTAAGAACACTTTGCTTAATTCAAGGTTACAAAGACTCCTGTTTTCTTCTAAGAGTTTTAGAATTTTAGCTCTTACAGTCAGGTCTGCGATCCATTTTGCATTAATTTGGGGCATGGTGTAAAGAAGTGGCCAACATCTTTGCATGTGGATATACAATTGTCTTGGTGTTATTTGTTGAAAGGACCATTTCTCCATTAAATTGTCTTCATACCCTTGTCAAGAATGAATTGATCATAAAGGTGAGGCTTCATTTCTAAACGCTAGACCTGATTCCATGATTTATATTTCTGTCCTGAGGCCAGTACCACATGGTCACAGTTCCTGTGGTTTTGTGGTAAGTTTTGAAAATGGGAAATGGGAGTTCTCCAACTTTGTTCTTCTTTTTCAAGATTGTTTTGGCTGGATTCTGGGTCCTTTGCATTTTCCTACAAATTTTGGGATTAGCTTGTCAATTTCTGCAAAAAAGCCAGCTAGGATTTTGAAGGATTGCTTTGAATCTGTAGATTAGGTCAGGTAGCATGGTCCTCTATACACCAAGTCTTCTGATCCATGAACATGGGATGTCTTTCCATTTACTTAGGGCTGCTTTATTTCTTTCTAAAGTGTTTTGTAATTTTCAGGGTGTCAGTCAGTATTTTAAAAAGCCATCCAGGTGATTCAAATGTGCAGGTGGGGCTGAGCACCCTGCCTTCAGTGGCATGTCATCCTAATTATATTAAGGAAATGTTTCTGGGTTACTAATCTTTTTTCCTTTGTTGTTTTTCTCTTTGCGCTGACTCAGGAACGCCCATTCTTTTCTTGAACGAGTCACTCTTTTGGGGTTAGACCTTCTCCAATAACTACCGTTGTTTTGAAAACTGAAATGTTTTCCCTGCAAATGTAGGTTTTCAGAACATCTCTCATTGACATTCAGACGTACGTGTGGTAAATAGGGTGAGGGTTGCTACGCCTGTCTTACCACACCTCATCCCTCATCGTCCTCTGACAACCCAAAACGTGTTTTCTTTGCAAAAGGTTATCAGTGTTAGATATTTGCAGAGAGAGGCTTCTGTAACCCATTGACATCCCTCTCAGACTCAGGAGGGCAGCCAGGGGCAGGGATCCTGATCACGGGCCCATTCTAGTAAGTACACAAGAGACTCCTAACACAGAGACCACTGCTGACTAAACGACTCCACTCGTTAGTCCATCCTCTCAGGCTTATAGCTTGGTTAGGTCATGTCTGCGTAATTTGTGGTAAGGTGGATCCTCTATGGGCCGAAGTTTACATGCAGTGTAAAAAGATTTGCCAAGCAGGGGTTAGGAACGAGATTATAAGCACGACTGGGTATTTAAAGCTACTTCTGAGAATAACGTTTTCGAGCCCTTTAGAAGTATGCCAATGATTGAGTTAATTTACTGGCCATTTTTATCTGTTTATAAAAGTATGGCCCCTTGCTGCTCAAGCTTTGGGGTAGTTTTCTGTAATTCTGAAATGGGGGTGACAACATTACCTGATGTTAAGCACGTTGTGAGGACTGAATCAAGGTATATGCGTGTGCATTTTGCCAGCCTTAGCCCCACAGGGGTGGGCTAGGGTTTATGTTTCTAGAATGTAACATTCGTATCAGTGTTATGTGAGTTAAACCACACGTATTGAGTAGGGCCTTGGGTCTTTGAAGGGCGAGGATTGGGACAAAGTCAGCAATAAACTCTAATTATGTCATTCGCTTTAATCTCTTTTCAGGCTATTGCCATTGTACTGGGGTTCATGGTTATTGTGGCTTTTGCTCTCATAATTTTCTTTGCTGTGAAAACTCGAAGAAAGATGGACCGGTATGACAAGTCGAACATTTTATGGGACAAGGAACGTATTTATGATGAGCAGCCCCCCAATGTTGAAGAGTGGGTAAGTGTTAAAGAAATCAGCGGACACCCACTCTTCTGTTAAACCGCGGGTTTCTCTCTCTCAACTTCCAGTGCTTTGTGAAACTTGTTTTTAGAGTTCTTGTCTGTGTATGGTGCAAAAGCTGTGGCCTCAGGTTTTACCCAGAGCCTTAAGAAGGTGCAATGAGTGGAAATTAGTTCACTCCAAGGTCAAAATCAGATTTCCATTGTCAAGAAGTGGATCTAAGCACTGAAAATTAGTGGCTTCTAAAGGAATCGGGTGGAAAGAACTTGGCCTTTGAAAACAGAACCCCACCCCCCACTCCACCCTTATTTTCCTGTTTGTGGATTTTGGAGGGAAGCATGTGGCCCAGGGGGCTTGCTGCCTTGGTCAGGATTGGCAGGGTGTTCTGGAGTGGTAGCAGGTGGGGGACCTTTCAGCTTTTTATCTGGATAACAGCTTGGCAAATCACAGTGACTCATTCGGCACTTACATGTACCTATGAGATAATTTATGAGGCGGAGAGAGAGCAGTTTCCTTGTTTGTATGTACTGTTAATCCTAGCAGTAGATGGCTTCCTATATGATATGATTGGCTGAAAATCCAGAAAGTTCCTCTCTCCAAAAATACCTCCCCAGCGCGTGTTACTGATACCTGGCCTGTCCTTAGAGATGCTGGGAGTGAGACCATTTCTCAGAAATCCTCTGTTGGGATGCTGTTGGGTGCAGCTGCAGAAACTGCCGTCACAGGTTTCTTTGAGCAGACTGATTTTCCAGAAAGGTTAGTTGAGGATCCAAACACTGGTTGCAGGGGAGGTTCTTTTGGCCAGCCGGAGTGGGGTGGAGCGGAGCGGGCTAAGGGCGGTGCTGCTGTCAGGTCAGGGGTAAAGACATTGGTCACCTTGAAGGCCCCTGTAGCTTCAAAAACATCTGATTTTTGAAGAAATCTAGAAATGTGGATGGATTTTTTTTTCTAGTTAAGGAGCAAAAACAATAGCATGGCAGTCTTCGGAACATTGGCAGGGGTGGTATGTGTGTGGCTGAGAGGGCGGTTGCTGCGTGCCTGCCCTCTGCTTGAAGCCTGCTCGCTCTTTTTTCCCCCTCATCGACGGTGAAGGTGTTTGGGAGTGTTTTCCTTCGACCTTGAGCCCCAGGCGAGGCCACCTGTGGATGGAACAGGACAATCTCTTGTGAACTATGAAGTCAGTGTTTCGCTGAGAGTTTCTGGGTGTGTTAGTTTTCATTGGCTGCTGGCTTTGTTTACTTAAGGTTTCGAGAGCCTAAAAAAAACTAACGCGGGAGAGCAGTGCCAGTGGCACCGGAGTCCCCGTGCACTTTGGCCTCTGGTCCGATTTTACTGTCGTGGAGGTTTAATCAGTTCTAGGTGCTCTTGATAATTTGACAGAAGGCAGCCAGAATAGCTTATGGAAATGATGGTGATGATGAAACCGAGGACTTCACTTTTAAAAAGGCATTATTTTTGTTCTGCTTCCTCCCCGCCGAAGCCGTGGGAATTTGCTCGCCAGCCTGTAGGCTGTGTGCTTCATAGTTTCTCTGTCGTAATAAACGTTTCGTCATGTGAAACTTAAAGACCCATCTGTTGAATAGCAGGTGTATGATTTTGAGCGGACTGTTTTATGCAGTTCTTAATCACTTGCAAATCCCTGATTTCTTTTTCCTTTCATTTCCCCAACTGAAATGCCTACGAAAGGCTGCAGTAAGCTCTTGGAGGCGGTTTTAGCCACAGGTGTTTTGCTTCTCCTTGGCTTCCCCCCCTCACCTGCCCAGCTTTGCTTTGCTGAACTCAGTACCACGTTCTCCTTTCCTCCGGTTGCTTCCAGGCCAGGGGCGGGCTGCTCCTCCACGTGCGCTCAGGCGCATCGCTGCCCCGTGGGGATGTTGGATGCTTGCCTGCAGGGCCTGACAGTGGGGTGGATTCCTGATTTTTCTTCCTTTTGGTCATTAGAAATTAATATCATAAAAATAACCTCCACTTAAGATAATGGAAGAGAATCTAGAGTTAATTACTTGTGCTAAGTGAGGATTCAACTTTGAATTCTAATTGTGGAGAACGAAGACCAGAAACTCCTCACATAGCTAACAGTGGATTGTTTGGGGGGAAAAGAAAAACTAAAGGAACAATTAATTAGCAGCTAAATATTAGTGTACTCTTCCCTAGACATGAGCATGGGTCTGGAGATTTGTTACCTTATTACATTTTACTGCCTTTTCTGGGTTTTTCATATCTTTAGGATCAGAAGGCTCAGAGCAGAGCTACTGGAAAGCTGAGCCTTCAGAGTTTAAGCAGTTCGGCCATTCTTTATTGTCGAGAGAACGTGCCGCTTTCTCGTGCCTCTCTGGACCCCAGCACAATGCTTTCTCTGGCTTCCCAGGGATTTTTAGGGCTGTTTTTTCCCTCCCCTTTCTGGATATCTTGTACTTTGTAAAATAAACAGGCCGTGTTTGCACAGCCTGTGGGTGTTAACCTGGCCCTTTGTATTCAGTCAAGTTTCTACTAACATTGTTGTATTTTAAATGTTTAAAGTTTCTTTTAATTAAATTTGCCAACTTTTATTTTTTTTCCTTTGTCCTCAGACCCCATATCTAATTGGTACTTTTTCTGAATTTAAAAAATATGTATATAATTATTTATCTGATAACTATAGAGAATTTTGAAAATATAGTGAAGTATAAACATAATTCTGCCCCTCGAGTTACCACTTTGGTGTAGTCTCTTTAATCCTTTTCCCTCCTATTTCTTATTCTAACTCAGAAGTATGGTTATATTCCCTATCAGTGTAAAGTTCTACCTTTTTTAATTTAAAATTATATTTAAGGGCTTTTATCACATCACTGAATATTCCTCATTTTTGATACTGTTAAAAAGTTTTATAGACGCGTAGTGTGTACCTGTAGACACACAGAGCCCAGTGCATTCAGTGCACTAGCTTAATGGTGTGGCTTGGTGAATTTTCACTCCGTGCCCGTGCATCCATCACCCGGATCAAGATGAGAACATTCCAGAGTCCAAGGTTTCCTCCCACCTCTTCTCACTCAGAACCCACCCCCCCCCCCCCCCCCAGGGCAGTACCTCCTCTTTCTGTCACTCATTCAGTTTCACCTGCTCTTAAACTTCCTGTAAGTGGAACTCTGGACTCTGTGCTTCTGTGTACACGACGCAGTATCTGCAGGATTCCTTCGTGTGGTTGCATCTGTCGGTGTGAAACTGTGTTTTTATTTTCATATGTTTTGGCAAGATAAAAGCTTTCCTAATTACCGCTTTTTGAAAAGCCCCTGGTCAGGATTACACTGGAACAATTTTTCAGGAGACTCTCTCCCGCTCTCAAAGTCCTCTTCTTAGTTTTCTCTGGTTCCTTTCATTGGTTTTCTTTTGTGACGATAAAACCAATGAAAAATAGACTTCCTGCTTCTTTGCACAGAAGTTAGCCCACGGATCCCACCATTCTGCCCTTCGCCTGCCCGTGTCCCTCAGTGATCTGTGCGGTGTCTCCTAACTGCGTCGCAGCCTCTGCGTGTGGATGCCCGTGTCCCTCAGTGATCTGTGCGGTGTCTCCTAACTGCGTCGCAGCCTCTGCGTGTGGATGCACCGTGGTTCATGTCCCCAGTCCTCGTGGGTGGACACATTTGCTGTTTAATGTTACAAACAATGATCTGATTTTTAAAAACTTTGTATCTTTGTATAGGTGTCTGTCCACTCCCTCCTTCTTAGGCTAGGTTTCCCCTGGTAGCATTGCTGGTCACAGGGCATGTACCTGGGTAGACAGTGAGGAATTGCCCTTCATGGGAGATGTCCCCGTCAATACAGCCATCAGTGATGTGTGCAGTTCTGGCTCCACGCAGCTTTCTACTGACATTCCACTGTGGGGATGTTACGGCCACTCCCTATGGCGGCATATTAGGTTTTTTCCAGTTTTTGACTATTTTAAATAATGGCTTTTGTCTGTGGTTTGCAAGAAGGTCTTAATATAAAAGTAATACAAGTTTATTTTAACAAGATGCAAATAATGTAGAAAAAGGAAAGAAAAAAGGAAAAGTTCCCTATTGTCTCCCTCAGTTGCCCATTGGGGCCAATTAGTACCTTTTAACAGACAGGTTTATATCCTCTAGGCTTTTCCTATTCTTACGCAGTGACTTCATACATCCTAAGACCTTATTCACCCCGATGTAATTTTTCTGAAATTGGGTCCTTCTTACTGGTGTAGCCTGGATGTCTGCTCCCACCCCTGCACCCCACCTCAAACTCCATCCGTGTAGACAGTCACAGACACAGATTGGGCAGCAGAGGGGGTGTCAGAGTGCGGCCACAGCCCGGCTGCCTGGGTCCTAATCCAGCCGGCCGGTTGCTTGTGTGAGACAGGCGAGGTCTCATGTCTCTGCCTCCACTTCCCCATCCCTGAAACGCACCTGCCTGCTGGGGTTGTTAGAATAAGTAATATTTGACAAATAGTTAGAATGATGCCTGCACATGGTAAATAATGTGATGTCATTTTTAATAATTTGGTGTTTTTTAGACCAAGAAAAGGGATCATAAGGTACGTGTTTATTTGCAATTTGCTTTTTGAAAAACTCGCCTTGAGTGGTGAACATTTCTCAGGCTTGCTGCTTTTAGCAGCTGTTTGGTATATTACACAGTATGGATATACCGTGGCGCATTCCCCTGGTTATGGGCATTTTGGCTGCTTCCAGGGTTTTGCTGTTACAGATAACACTGCGGTGAACGTTCTCATGCATGATTTATGCTCTCTTGCTAGTATTGGTATAAGATGGATTTCTAGAAGTGGTCATCATGTGTGTGCATTTTAAATTTTGTTAGGTACTGGGCCAAATTGCCTTGTTTTTAAAGGCTGGCGGTTCCACTCACGGTGTATGAGCGTGGTCATCTCCCAGCATCTTCTCCCTGCCCTGGACCTTATCAGTCTTTAATTTTTGTCAATCCGATAAGTGGAAAATTGTGTTTCATTTTAACTTAAAAAATGTCGTGATGAAATGTGTCTGCATCTG